AGTCAGAAAGTAGATATCTTCTTGGAGGGCGCTAGAGACTTCATCGAGAGCGACGGTTACTTCAACATCGACAGTGCCGCCCACAACGACGGCTTCCGGGAATAGAATTGTCTCCGGTAGTGCAACTGGTCCTTCAACGTCTGGGCCGACAGAGACTACTGGGGGAGCCGCGGAAACGGTGGGCGCCATGGAAACGGTGGGCGCCATGGAGACAGTGGGCGCCATGGTCGGCGTACCCATGACGGGTGAAGTAGTGGGATCCGTCTCGGTGGGGGTGGTGACTACACAGCGATGTCCTTCAAGGGTTCTGCGGTTCATTCCTCTTCCTCTGGTTCTGGTGCAGGTTTCGACAGTGCAGGGTTGCTCGGTTCTGTTACACATTCTGGTAGCCCTAACTTCGGTATTGCGTCCGGTGTTGCATCGGCCATCACAGGTTCTCCTTCTACCCATACGACTGATGGTCATTTGGTTAATAGAGTCATTGGGAGTCGGCCTTGCAGCGGCAATTGCAGCCAAAGCAAGGATAGTTGCAAAAAAGATTGAGGCTCTCATTGCGTGGTTGAAGTGTTGAATTAGTGAAATGTTGAGGTCGAGAAAGTGGTGGATGGTTGTGATGGTGTGGAGGACAGTTGCAGTTCGGGCGGAGGTGCGGAGGCCTTTTATTCTCCTTCGGAGTGCTGCTGGGTACGCGGGATCCTGGAGGCATGTGGGAGATGGATTTCGGCAACGCATAGCGTTGGCGGATCCCGAAGACGCTGTCGATGGGGTCTAGCTCCTCTAGCTGCTCAAGGGGCCGTGAGCAGGCAGCAATAGGCGCGCATGTGATGACAAGGATTGGGATGGACGGGATTTCGTGAAATCACAAAAAATGTGAAGCAGAACAACGGGGCAGGAGGCACAAATCAATTGGGGTGTTTCTGGGCAAGATGAAGAGTGTTGGCAGTGGTTGCCGGAGCTGTCTCTGGAGAAGAAGTATGAGTCGTATGGTGAGTTTCATGGGAAGAAAGTGGGACGGGGACAATCTCAGGCAAGGGCAGTTTACCCAAGGGTACAAGAACAATATGGGGATAAGCGTTACTCGGTGTCGCCGTGGCGGCTGAGGTAGCACTAGTTGCATCTACGTACTAGACATACTGCAGTGCTGCAGTATCCAATGGCCACTTTGGAACGCGTTTGGATACGCAGTCATTGTGTTCGGCGAGTCAGCTGTGAGGAGGGGGAGAAAGAGACGGGCGGACAGCCTTTCGAGATGGGGCACACGCGGTGCTACCTTGACAAGGACATCCCGTGGCTCTTTCTTCATGCAGTGCAGATCATGTGAGGCAGCCTTTCCTCCCTGTGCCGCATCAGAGAAAGACAAGTGTCATCCCACCTTGACCTGACACGGCTCCTTTGTCGGACAGCGTGCACACGTGTGTCACTTGAGCGACACGCATACGTGTGTCCAGCTTTTTATATATTTTACTGTATATATATACCGTCACTGCGTTGCTCAGCTTACGTATGAGGCTGCGATTGCGACAGCAAGCGAGCGACGTCAGCGAGCGACGTCGGGACGCGTCGCAATGACCCTTGATCACTGATCTGGGGCTGGAGTCCGCTTCGTCCTACAGTACAATGCTCGCGGCGGAATCAGAGTCTACGCCCATACTGTACCAAGGGTCCTGTACCCTTCTGCATACAGTAGACCGTAGGCCATTGTACGTAATCGTGTCTTCGGTGTCGCAACTGACGCACCCGGTTGGGTTCCTCCTGACCCCCTCAGATGACGCCAGCACTAATTCGGGCCTGGTCACGCTTTTGAATAATTCCGCAACTTGGCCCGCAGAGTGCACACTTCTACACTGCATCAGCACCACACCCCATCAGCCTGCTTAACAAACCCCTATATGGCTCATACCATATGCGTTGTGGACCCGCTCCAAAAACGACAAGATGTGGTTTTTGAATACATCCTTTTGTCAGAAACCCTTCTTCCCACCGCATACTTATTCTGTTACTACTCTACGGGCCCAATCTGCAGCCACACTCCACCAAGCACCGTTGAATCCTAGTTCACCAACCTATCACGCTTTTCGTTAGTGTTGGCAACAAATCGTCAGCCTCACTGAGAACATCTCCTTTGTCCTATCCGATGGTTTCGTGTCAGCGCCCAGTCTCGCACTCTGCTACACTGCCTCGTCGACGCAACTCGCAAACACTGCTCTACATTCAAACATATCTTCACTTTTATGCCTACTGCCAGTTCTCTTTCACATTTCAGTTTCCGGTGAAATCCGACCGTAACCTTCTAAATCCGCTTTTCTCCTTTCCACGAAGCCTACGAGCACCACCAGTATGCATCCATCCATTCAAACATATTGATCATTTCATTTTACCCTCCTCCTCAATTTTTAACTACAGACTCCTGTTTGCAAGGCTAATTGTTTCACAGGCACATTCCCGGGAAAGCATTCCACTTTTTCCCGCCCTAACGATGGCCCCCTTGTATTGCCTCTTCTAATATAAACTTTACCTTGGCGGCATGTCCACTGCTTTCGTGCTCGTTCTGCTTTCCCGGAAATCTCTATCACGCTGCACCATTCTTCCACTAAATGTCTAGGTAAGTTTGTTGTTATTATGTAGTTTGTGAGCTGTTCGATTATGCGTTTTCATCCAACGCGTCCTTACTTCTGCAATGGCAACCATTACGTAGAATCAAGTCTGAAACAATTTTTCTTTTCTTGTCGAAATCGGTTGTCTTGCATCAACTCCATTTTTGTAAACCTTTTCTGCGCATCTGCGCATCCATATGTTCACGTGAACATCTGTACAGACTGCGCGAGGGACTGTATGAGTAGGTATGCCTTACAAGCCATGGAGAATCGCAAGCCCGCTTGTTGCCTGTCCCTTCACCGTCATCATAGTGCTGGAAGCAACGAGGTACCCTTGGGTACAGTACCAAATTAAGTGTGCTACGGCCAGAGTACGATGCTGCGTAAAACGTGTGCTCATGAATGGTCTGGTGCCAGGCCATTCATTGCCAGCAACCTTTCCCTCGCGAATTCAGCTTGTGCTAGATGTCATGCAGATTGTTGTGTTAGCGTCCCGTGAATCTCCACGGCATTACAGCACACATTTAAGCTTCCTCAAATCTTGACCCGTCATATGTGTGCAACATATGTCTTCTGTAGGCCAGCGCCCACTGTCTCTATGTGCGAAGTAAGGAGGTTCCTGGGTACTAACCTTCAAATTTGACTTCGTCGGAGAGATGATCCGTAGTATGTATTTCTGAATGGTCTCACCATCTTGGAGGAAAAGAAGCCTCCGCGAGTTGTCACAACTACGCTTCTCATACGTAGCCACTACGTATTGGCAAGGAAAATCACTTTGTAGGCAGGCGTGTTGTATCTCTGTAGATTTTGCTTCAAGATACAGAAGAAACCCCGATCCCCGCGCTTTTGGCATCCCCCGTTGGAAGCACACCATAACGAATAGCAACTCATGATATGCACGATTTGAAGTTTTAAGATTCTTTTGTTGCGACAAGAGAATAATTTCTTTCATCATCCTGTCCTCAATTTTAGTCCGTTCTCTGTTAACCCTGCAATTCTCGCAAGTAGGCAGCTACAGTATTGCCATTGTCCATTGGCACTTTTCCCTGGTGTTCCTTCCAAAATGACTGCGCGTCGAGCGTTGTCACTTTTCTCCAATTGGGTGACGTTGAGAATACCGACCTAGCGCCCTATGCACGTTGCCATTCCCTCCATGCGGATTTCTGTTCATGTGTGTTTAAAGGCGCTCTACCATACATATAATCTGTCTTTCCTCATCAGCGTAGGCTTCTCTCGACAAACTTTCCTCAATGCAAGCATGGAGATTGCGTGCCGTCCACTTTCAAAGCATGTCGGAACCAATTTTCCTGTGGATTGAGTCTCTCTCTGCTCACCGTGAGGCTCGTCTGCATGAGTATTTCCGAAGAGCGATTGCTTAGCTTTTTCATGTCGCATGGTGAACTCCCTCTGACTTTTTTTCTTGAATTGTCTCGCTTTTTGATACATCCGAGCTTCATCTGCTTGCTGAGAGACGTTAAGGCTTAATGAGGCCACTGTTGACGGGAAATGGCCTTTGTTTAGGACCTTGCTCGATAAGAGGGTTTTCAGGGATACAGGTGCGAAGCAGTCATTTCGCTTGACACAACTACAAGGGCAAGATTCTGAGTCTCTTTGTTCCTATCTTCAGGGTTGAATGAAGAGGAGATTTGCTGCCGGGGCATGAGAGCCGTATCCTTTCTTTTCGAAGCATGGCAACAATCTTGTTCGAAGACATTCGTTACTTGAATGTCCCTACATTAAAATCTCAGAAAAGCATGTATACTGTACCCTTAAGGATACATACAGCATGCAACTGAGCTAGGTACGAAGTATGTATCATGAAGATACAGTTTGTAGTACAAACTTAGTACAAAGGAAGAAGCAACACAAATTGTATCTTCACAGTTTCCAACGGCCAAAAAACCGGGAACAATATGGGAAAAATGCAGGACGCAAACCTAGCACCTTGAGCTCTTACGGTTCTACACTTGCTCTTCCGCCTCGGATAGCTGCAAGTACCCAAATCTCTTGCGCTCCTATCAAGAAGCCTCTGAAAGCAGTGTACCGTTTGTTAAATGACAAGGGGTGTCACAATCTCACAGCCTAGCTAGTGTCTAGACAAGTGACGTCATATGAGGTCACTTCTCAACCTAGTGTCTCTGTTTTGCAGTAAACGATGAGGAAACGTCAAGGAGCTGACCGGCCGTTCCTAACGAAGAGTTCGGTGTGCTAGCACGCAAGCACCCTGAAACTTGGCATGAATGTATTGGTTGAAAAATTATTGGAAATGCTTTTACTCCCGGCCCTGAGGGCCGCCCTGAAGGACTGCGGTGGTTCACTACACACTGGTGGACTGCTGACTGCCAGCCAATGTGCAAACGTCAACTGTCCGAAAAGTATTCGAAGCAGGCCCGTTGAGATGAGGAGTGTGATGCCATGAACACCGATGGCCCTCTCTCCTCTGGGGGGGAGGGCGGCCGGCGGTGACTTTATCTGCTGAGTTGTAGTGCCCTATGTGGCTGTGCCTTATCTACTGTGCTGACCTATCTGGATGGAACCACAGGGAGCAACCGTGGATTCGTACATTATTCTTTTAATTTGCGCTAGCGAGCCCGTTGAGAAGTCTCTCTGGTCATCATGGGGAGTTACTCAACTTTGAGCTTCTATCCTAATTTTGTAAGGCTGAGTGCTGTACGACTGGAAAACGTCGCCATACCGCACGAGCAGAAGCCCAGCCGACTGCATGAATATGATGCATGGAGAGACTACAGCTCCTGCCACGGTGGCAACTTCCCCGTCTGTTCCTGACCTTGCGATAGAATGTTTTACGGGAACCCGTCACCAGGGACGCAGCCAGCAATTGAGGTGGTAGCGATCGTCTGCCTCACGCCGACCCCGCTCAGATTGAGGTTAATTTCGCAGGTGAAGCCGTCTGGGAACTCGCAAGCACCCGGCAGAATTGTCGCTTCCTCAACAATCGACCTTGTCTCACCGGCTGCAATGAGAAGCGGAAGGTCCGGCCTGAAAGTGATTGCGACCCTTCCATCACAGTCGGTTGTCGAAACAGAGAGCTCTTGAGGGAGAGCTGTCACAGCGTCAAGAATTTGATCAATAAGACTTCCAGCGTCAGAGTCGGCGATCCTGCGGATTGATCCGAGAGTCCCGCTCGTGATAGCGTCGGCTTGGCCTGAAGGGCTGTTTACGACTGGACCAGGGCAACCGAAATTAGTACCAGTCGCGCTTGTCGTGGCTGCGTTAAGCCCTTCAGTGTTACTCGCGGCGAAGTTAGTAGCGACGACGGCGATACCAATCTCATTCAACTGGTCAACGACAACATCACGGGTGAGAGGCACACTGTCAGCAGGGCAGGTCGGTTCATGACCCGGTGCATCACCAAAGTAAACTAAGATTTTTCGAGAACCATCCCTCCATCCGATAGATGGATTAGTGGCAACCTCACTGATTGCAAACAAGTTGGCCTCTGGGATGTCCCCACCGTCGACTGCGTTGAGCGAAGCAATGGCTGTATCGACAAGTCCGAGATTTGTGGTAAGAGACTGCAAGTTCTCGAAGGGCGGAATGTCCTCTTCGTCTCTGTAGAAACCAACCCCAAAGGCTACGTCTCCAGATGCATTCCTTCTTGCGTCGACGAGCATATCAAAGTTCTCTTGTACTTCCGTAATTTCTTCAGCCATAGAGCCGGTCGCATCGGAGAGCAAATAGAAGTCTTCCATCGTGGAGCTGGAAAGGTCATCAACAGTAACCTCAATCGTAACATTGATGGTACCACCAATCTCGATCTCGGGTGGGAACTGAAGGATGGTGGGGACCATAATTGGGCCCTCGGAAATTGGGATCTGGGACGGAGACGGGGTCGGGGTCGGAGCGACTCCACAAGTGAAACCGGTTCGTCCGCTTCGTTCACAGGGAATTACTGCACAGCCAGGCCCTCTGCGACGGCAGTCGATTTCGGCGCGTTCTTCGGCTCCTCGAAGGGTGAAGCAGATGGTACTACATGTCAGTTGACGGTCCACATGACCAACGGAGTTGGCGCCAGATGCTGCCTGTGCTACTAACGCGGTTGAGAACAAGAAAGCGAAGATCACAGCAAGTTTAGCCATGTTGCTGCCCAACTGAAGTAAGTGTTTCAGTATGTCGAAAGCGGATGGTTGGAGTAAGTGTGGAGGATCTGCGGTGGTGGGATGGCTTTTATAGGGGCATGGAATTCTAAGTTGTCTTACGATGCAAGGGTAGGGAGGGGGCTACAGGGGATAGCTGCAGAATGAAATCTGCGAATCAAAGAGGCCGTAGAAAGAGGGTGGAAGGACGCTGGGAGTTTGAATTGCCCGTATTGTCCATGCGGATAGAAGTCTAAGGATACCAAGTGACGTAAATATAGAGGGAAGGCGCCAACAGATCATAAAACGAACAAGTTTCATCATGTTTCACATCTGAAACTTCGCGAGGGCAAATGACCTTGGGCATCGTGTGACCTAACGTGTACATCGGACGGGCGTGTGGGCGAGAGCTAGTGAACAGAATGGCAATTCGCGCTGGCTTGGCTACGGAGGTGCGATGCAGTACTTGCCCATACCTTCCGGCCAACATTTCTCGTCAAGTTTGGTAAACAAAGGGATTTGCCTCCATTGCGATGCATGGTTTTCAGAAAGGCTGGACTATCCTTTGACGGTACTGTACTCTAAGAATTAGAATGAGCGAATGTAAGAGGCGAGAGGATCGGTAGTCATTGCTGTGGTGTAAAGTGTCGACAGAGAATACGGAGAGTCAACGATGACACCACAAGACATTTGGGGGTACGAGCGAGGGGTTAGATGTGGCCTTGTATGCTGCGTTTATGTGCCACACAGACTGCTCACTTTTCCAACGTTGTGCGTGCTCCCTTGTCATTAGAGGTACAAGTATGTTCAACATTGAGATAAATTGGAGAAAACGGGTGCGGGAGTTTTTTCCGTCATTTAAACAGGATGCTTTTATACACAACCTAAAGACTTGGACACGGTTCTGGGCTTGTGCCATACACACGCACAGCTTGGCATCTCATGAAAAAGCTATGTACTGTACAGAGGGGCCACTGATTTTGATGTGCCCATCTCACACGGTATCTCGCAGCATGCTTTGAACAAAACTCGCCAGGTCGCTGTTCTACGAAATCAACACTTGCCCTGTCCCTTTCATAAGACCATCCGTGCAACTATTGTTCCCTCCAGGGAGGATCCCCATGCCCTGTCACTAAAAAAATAAAAAATAGACAACTTTTGTCATGAGTCATGACAAAAGTTGTTTTTTTTTAAGGGAAATATCACGATTTTTTTATTCATTCATTATTCATGTCATGACTCATGACAATGCTCAACATCTATGTCTTGCCATTATTCCATTACATTATTATGCTGGCATAATTGATTATGCTATCATAATTGTGGCACCACAAGACAAACCATTGCTGCTCACGCAAACCATGCATTCGCAATTTCATTCTTGGCCGTCCCCCTTGACCGTTCATACACGTTCTGCAGAATTAACTACGAGTATTTTACGGTTACAGTTTTCGTACTGCACAATTACAGGCATCAATCGTTCAATGCCACCTTTCCGGCAAGCGCGTAGAAAAATGTGCAACATCATGCTTGCTCCAACATCCCCTTTTTCTTCTCCGAATGCGAAACTATTCTTGGCTAGATGTGGCACTTCCGTAAGTTGACCTCGTGCTAACATCGTGCATGCAATCTCCGAAACATCTCAAAATGGCACAGGAAAAAGTCCTACGGTATGACCTCTCATGAGCATACTGAAGAGATATGCGATAGCAACTCGGACTGTATAGGATTGGCTTGTGGTGCTCGTATAGCGTCTTGGGTCTCGCTTCTCGAAAGACTCCTAGCTAGGAAAATCAAAACACTACTCCTTTAGTGCTTGGTAAGTAAACGTGTCAGCAAGTCGCAAAAAAAAAAAAAAAAAAAAAAAAAAAACCTTTTTGCAAAGTCTTCTCTATCTACAGCATCCAGACAGCGACGTTAGACTCCTTCGATTGTGTCCACACGTCACATAGAGTTGAGCATCTCGAAGAAAAGTCCTTACGCTGGGGAAAAATGTAATTCACATGATGTGCCAACAGTATCCTCAAAATGTAATACTGTACAAGTCGGAAAAGAAACATCTGTCGACGTGTGATTGAGGAGGGGTGTATACGCACGGCTATTTTTTAGTCAGTCTAGTCATTCAAACAAAAAATGTTTGTTGCGATTTCGATTAGAGGTACTGAATAAACCAAGAGTGCTCGTTCTCAACGAGACGTTCGTGCAGTTTTTCTGGATCTCGAGACTAAGGAAACATTTTCTTCGAAAGGTCATTGAAGCATTTGGTTTCCGTTCCTGGTAAAGGGATTCTACTGTACGAAGGTCCTAAGTGTCCTGGTTGGGAAGACACTCGCAAAGCATTGAATCTTTCCGATCGCTTCGTGCGAATGTGAACCCTTGGTTTACATGTACAGTGTGAGAGGCTGTGCTTTGATTTCAAGGTTCTGCAATTGTTTATTCATCCCTTGCAGATGCAGACTTTTAAAGTCCACTTATCCTTTCTACGGAGACATTTTTCTAAAAATTGTTCGTTTCTCCGTTTCTCAAATTTTGTATTTTGCGACATTTCTCTTTACATCCGGACAAGTAAAGAACGATCATGTACGATATGCCATAAATTTACTGTGTGTGCAGCTGTGTGATACACATACGGCAAATATGAATTTCGATTAGTTGTTCTCCGACGTGTGACACACTGTAAAGGGGGGGTGCTGCAATTGTCGGACAGTGACAAAAAGATCGGACATGCAAAATATTTTGAAAATTATCTCCGACACGGGCCAAGGTGTGCACCTTGGCGCACCGCTGCGCGTAACGGCGCCAGACAGTGCGCCGTATCTCAGAACGACGTGTTTGAAATTAAAGAAAAAATATCTCAATCGATTGCTCACAGCTTGCTACGTATAAGAGTGTAACAACCCAAAAACACAAAACAGGCATACTTTTCTATTTTTTTTAATTTGCTTCGATTTCCGATCTTTGTGCGCGGTTGGGGTGCAAAAGTGTCCACGCGCTTCAATCTCACTCCTCGTCTTTGTCCGTGCTTGTTTTCGCCAAGTCCCTGTGGTTCCATACAGAGACAAGTAAGTCACCCACCTACGATAAGACGTAGCCAATAGGGCACAACTCACTTGCACAATAAAGACACCGCCGGCCGCCCGACCCCCAGGGGATCGGGGGTATCGGTGTTCCTAGAATCACAGTCCCAGTAGACGAACGGCTGAGAGTGTTCCCGTCGCAAGACATAAAAAATGGTGATTGCTTGACAATTACAAGTACTTTTTCCTTTTAATATTGAGGTTTTTGTCCGACATTTGGAGCACCCCCCTTTAGTGTCTATTGGACGGACGTTTTTGATCATTTGAGGCGAAAAGAGCCTCATCTGAGGCTTGAAAAATAATGGCATCCCCACGGTTCAGAACATTAGTTACGCCCTGTCGAAGTGTCGAACATGACTGCAGTACCCTGTTACATGCCTCTTCACTGCAGCTATAATTTCCAGCACGAAGTAAACCACCATCGGTCCAGTCGCCATCAATACATATATTATGCCACTTAGAAGCGTTTTATTTTAAGGTTTACGCTAGGAGAATTCTGCAATAGTTATGGCGAAGAGGTGACGAAGAAGTGTAAGCCCATTGCAGAATTCTCGATTGCAGAATTCTATAATTGAATTGCAGAATTGTAGTTTACGCCACACCGAACAATCTAGAATTCTGCAATAGCCATGAGTAATAGTATAGAGGCAATTTCGAAACAGGATGCAACCACCCAAGCGAAACGGTATGCACTCCTGAGCACAGGATCGCCTTCTCGGTCAAGGGACGTAGGTTTTAGGCAGCAACACAAGCCATGAGCGGTCGATTGCGAGATCACACTTCGCGCGTGGCCGGGCGGCGCGCGACTATGTCGCGTGCGGTGTTGACTGCCGCCGTGCACAAGCGGGGTACATATCGAGGCTCGGCTCCGGCCTCGTCAAGTGCGCTTCTCAACATCGCGCAACGCTACGCGCAGCACAAGAGGGAGCGCTCTCGCTACGCACGCCGCACCCTCTCGATCTCGTTCACTGAATTCCATTTCCTTTTTGGTTCTCTGCCGGACGCCTCGTGCCTATCCCTTTTCCGGTTTCGGAAAGAGGCCGTGCATCGCTTGACGTCTATTTTTGCCTGGCTGATCCAGGTGACCAAGACAAAAAGAAACCGTTATTCGGTTTCCCCGCTTTTAGCGACATGCGTCGTTTTGCGTAGGCTGGCAAGCCTTGCTCGCTAGACAGATGTGGTGTTGTTGTTTGGAAAGCACGCGTCGCAGCTCTCGGAAATATTCTAGGAGGGCTTGGAGTTCTTCCTAGCCACCCGTATGCACCTCATTACTGAGGACATGAGCGCAGAGCTCATTGAAGCCAAAGCCCCAGCTTGGGCGGCGGCGGTGAGTGATAAGAGCCATGCGCTCGATAATTGCGTGGGCTTCATCGACAGGACGGTGATTGTGATCGCGCGACCCAGTGGCGACGCCTCTCTTCAACAAGTTGCCTACAATGGGCACAAGCGCGAGCACAGGCTGAAATTTCAAGCGGTTACAAGCCCATGTGGGCTTATTTTGCATGCCTATGGCCCCATGGAGGGGCGTCGCCACGATTAGACGATGTACAGTAGAAGTGGCCTCGATGAGTCACTGAAGCAGCTTCTGTCTGTCAATGGGCACCAGTATTGCCTGTAAGGCGACGCCGGGTACAACGCACGGGCGTTCATGGAGGTGCCGTTTCAGAGCTCGCATCTGAGCGACAACCAGAGGGCCTTCAATAAGGCTATGGTGCAGTCAAGGGTCTCAGTGGAGTGGCTGTTCAAGGAGGTCAAGCAGTACTGGACTGCAGTGGAATTTAAAAGGAAGCTGAGGGTTCGTGAGGCGGCTGTGGGCTCCATGTATCTTGCGAGCATGCTTCTGACGAACTTTCGGAACTGCGTACATCCGAACCCGATTTCGCAGTATTTCAACTGTCTGCCCCCGTCCCTTGAAGAGTACGTCTC